TCTTTCTTTCCCTTCCCTTTATTTCCTTTTCTTTTTTTTTCTTTTAAAATACATTTTTATTGCCGAAACCGGTTTGGCTCAGTGGATAGAGCGTCGGCCTGTGGACTGAAAGGTCCCGGGTTCGATTCTGGTCAAGGGCATGTGCCTTGGTTGCGGGCACATCCACAGTGGGAGATGTGCAGGGGGCAGCTGATCGATGTTTCTCTCTCATCGATGTTTCTAGCTCTCTGTCTCTCTCCCTTCCTCTCTGTAAAAAGTCAATAAAATTTATTAAAAAAAATACATTTTTATTGATTTCAGAGAGGAAGAGAGAGGGAGAGAGAAATAGAAATATCAATCATGAGAGAGAATCTTTGATCAACTGCCTCTTACACGCCCCCCACCGGGGACCGAGCCCACAACCCAGACATATGCCCTTGACTGGAATCAAACCTGTAACCTCTCAGTGGTAAATGCTCTATCCACTGAGCCAAGCCAGCTAGGGCTCCCTTCCCTTTCTTTACCCCTGGGCTAAGAGAGCATCATTCTTTCTCATATTGAACTATAAATGTAATGCTATTTTTCTGTCCATCTTTCCTGCCAGCCTATGAAAGGCCTTGAGAATAAAGGATAAATATGTCAGTGAGTTGGTTGTAAGAACTTAACTTTGAATAAATTAATCAAGATAAAAGGAAGTATAGGTAAGAAGCTGCATAGCTAGAAGGCAAAAAAGGAAGTGTGTATCGCCTATGTTTAGGAAGGACAGATACCAGAAAAACCGCAGATCACACCAGGGGTGGGCAATTAGGGGTAAAAAGTACACACTATGGCCCTAGCCAGTTTGACTCAGTGGATAGAGCATTGGCCTGCAGACTGAAGGATCCTGGGTTCAAATCCAGAGGCAGTGGCAGTGAGTGGGGCCGGGGCCAAGGCCCTTGCATGAATTTCATGCATCAGGCCCCTAGCACTATAATAAATACCCATATGTCATGTCACCTATGTGCATCTTTAAAATGAAATACTACAAATGGGCCTAAAAATGGCAAGCTGCACGTTTTTTAAATGATGTTTTATCTGTTTGTTGAGTAAGGTTACTACACTTTAAGGAAGTATTTCCCTATGGACATTTAGGTTTTCTCTGAGTTTGGGGTACTAAAAATAAACTTCAGACCCAGCTTCCTTCTCTTGTCTGTCTTTTCTCAATCCTTCACTGCCCCCTCTCAGGCTCACTGAACCTGGCTGAGCTGGCTCGGCACATGTGGCACCCGAACAGGGACTGAGTATGCCATGGCTGTGCCGACTTGGCACAAATTGAAATTGTAAATTCATTTCCTTCCATCACTCTGTTCAGGGAAGTAAGTAAAGTGTGCATTTTCCTGGCAGTTGTGCTCTCCCTTGGCTTACTGAGAGATGCATGAGCCTTCTTGATGCCAGAGATGTTGATTTATACTAAGCTGTGCTTCTTAATGCCCTTCAGGACCCACGGTCTGGATTGTGAATTTATTCTCTGGCTGACACCATAATCATCACCTTCATCATTGTTGCCAGCTTTATAAGTTTATTAAGAGCCTTATAAATAATGTCAGATGTTTGATTTATAAACATCTATTCTCCCAGATCCCATTTTCCTGCACTATTTTTTTTTAAATTTGTTTATTTTTCCCAAGAGTCTTAGCACTTTTCATTTTGTTACAAGTGCTTAGTAAAAAGCACATGGATTTTAAAATAAAAGATTTAGAATTAAAACATGATCCTGCCAGTTATTGACTATGTGACCTTTTGCTAAGTTAAATTTTCTGACCCTATAAAATGGGAACAATAATATCTACCTTGTAAGATTAGTATTGAGTTACATATATAAGTATATGTATCGCCTCCTACATGCCAAATAGTATATGTATTGCCTCCTACATGCCAAGTACTTTATATACATTCTCTCTAACTTTTGGAGTAGCCACAAGCAGAATCAATTGGAAGGCAAATAGAGCAGACTATGAAAGAATTGAGGAGGTCGTATGAGAAGTGGATGTGGTATAGAATGTCACCAAACTGTTTGGCTCAGTGGATAGAGTGTTGGCCTGCAGACTGAAGGGTCACAGGTTCAATTCTGGTCAAGGGCACATGCCCAGGTTGCGGCTCCATCCCCAGGAGGCAGCTGATCAAGATTTCTATCTCTCTCTCCCTCTTCCTTCCTCTCTAAAATCAATAAAGATATGTGAAAGAAAGAAAGAAAGAAAGAAAGAAAGAAAGAAAGAAAGAAAGAAAGAAAGAAAGAAAGGTCATCAGACTAAGACCTGAAGTTTGAGTTGAAAGTAGTTGAGAGCGATGGGTGTCAAGCAAAGCAAAAAAAATAAGAGGGGTACAAAGGCCCTGAAAACAGGAAGAACTCAGTGCACTCAAAGAAGTGAAAGAAGTAGAGAAGTTCAGAGCCATGCAGAATAAAGGAGAGAGTGATTGCTGTTGTTGAAAGAGTAAAATCTGCAGGGCTTTGTAAATCAGAGTAAGAATTTAATCCTAAGGCAGTGGTTCTCAACCTTGGCTGCACATTAGAATCACCTGGGAATCTTTTTAAAATCCTGAATTCTGGCCAGAACCGGTTTGGCTCAATGGATAGAGGGTCGGCCTGCGGACTCAAGGGCCCCTGGTTCGATTCTGGTCAAGGGCATGTACCTTGGTTGTGGGCACATCCCTAGTGGGGGGCGCGCAGGAGGCAGCTGATCGATGTTTCTCTCTCATCGATGTTTCTATTTCTCTATCCCTCTCCCTTCCTCTCTGTAAAAAATCAATAAAATATATTTTAAAAAAAATCCTGAATTCTGTTTCTTTGTCATGGGGTGGGGCCACAACATTAGTAACAAAGAAAAAGAATTTCCGGAGGATGAGGCCCAGAGATCAGGATTTCAAAAAGATTCCCAGGTGATTCTAATGTGCAGCCAAGGTTGAGAACCACTGCATTGAAGGGTTTTGAGCAAGGAGTAACAAGATACATATTTGTGTTTCAAAGGGTCACTTTACTTGCAGTGTGGCCATAGTGAATGCTGGTGGAAGGAATAGGAACTACTGCAACAGGTCACACCAGAGCATGCTGTGACTTAAAATAAGTGATAACTGGTCAGGGGAACAGAGAAAAATAAAACAATTCAACAACTACTGAATAAGAAACCTCTGAGACATATATTGAGGCCAGAATGCTGGCTGTGACTGTGATTGATTCAGTGTGAATGAGGAAGAGGAAGAAATCAAGGATGGCTTCCAGGTGTCTGTGCTGCGCTCCCGGCTGGCTTGTAGTGCCACTTGCTAAATGAGAGAACAGCTGGAGGTGGGACAGGTGGGAGGCTACTATAATGAGTTTGTTATTACACATGCTGAGCTGAAGACGCCTAAAGCAACCAGGTGGCTGTGTCAGTCATCTGTTGGGCATTTGAGCTGAAGGTCTTTGGAATCCAGTTCATCAGCAAGCCCTTTTAGGTCTTCCTTCTGAATATATCCCTAACCGGTCCATTTCTCCTCTTCTACCCAGTTAACCTGCAGGTTCGGGCCTTTATCATCTTCACTTGGACTAATTCAGTGGCCTCCTCACTGGCTTCTCTGCTTTCCTATTTTGTTCCCGTCTTTTTGACACCACATAGCAGTCAGACTAAATCAAATCATGGCCCCTGGAATAAAGCCCAAACTCTTGGTCCAGGCCTGTAAAACTGGATATGATCAGGCCTGGTTCCTACCTCTTCTCATCCCATCTACACCCCTGACCCCCTGCTCCAACGCCACACCCCTTCTTTCTGTTTGTTGTTCTTGCCTCACTCCCTGTACCCAGGGCTTAGCAAGCTTTGTCCCTAAATCTTTGAATGGCTTTCTCCTTTTCATTATTCATGACGCTGCTCAAATATCACCTCATCCAAAAAGTCTCCTCTGACCTTCTTATCCTTCTCCTACCCTCTCTCCCTGTTTTAGCTTCTTCATGGCTCTTATTATCTGAAATGATCTTGTTCATTTATTTATTTGTCAGTTACTCACCTCTTCTCATTAAAGTTCAAGTCTGGGGAAACTGGATGAGGTTCATGGGATTATTTTGTATTTATGTCCATTATTGTATTATATAGGATTGTATGTATTATGAATTATTTCTTAGTAAGCATGTGGAACTATAATTATCTCAAAATAAATTTCCTTTTTTTAGTAAGTCCTGTGAAAGCTGGATGTTGTTTGTTGGGAACGGGGTCCCCAGTACCAGAATAGAGCCTGGCATACAGTAGGCCCTAAAGCAGCGGTTCTCAACCTTGGCTGCACATTAGAATCACCTGGGAATCTTTTTAAAAATCCTGATTTCTGGGCCTCATTCTCCGGAAATTCTGTTTCTTTGTTACTAATGTTGTGGCCCCACCCCATGACAAAGAAACAGAATTTCCGGAGGATGGGGCCCAGAAATCAGGATTTCAAAAAGATTCCCAGGTGATTCTAATGTGCAGCCAAGGTTGAGAACCACTGCCCTAAATAAATCGTATTAATAAGTGATATTTTTGGTTACGTTTACAGGGCAGAGAACACGAACAACGGCACGAGATCCCGAGCCGAAGAAGCGGGGACGCAAGGACTTAGTGTTGGCGTCCCAATGCTGGTGTTCAGAACTCGGTCCCCTATTCCAAGTACCTCTCCAGGAACGAACGGAGTATTGATGAGATGACTGAAGTGGTGATTAGCGCTGTCTTAGGCGATGCTCAGTCATCGATCATCTTTGTCGCCTACGATGATGACAACAGCGCAGGGGTGACGGGACCACCACCTTACAAGTGGGTGTTCGCTGATTCCCAGAAAGCAGACCAGGCCTGCTGGTTCCTTAACCTGCCCCGGGAGAAGGTGGCTGTGCACCGTGGCCTGGAAGGTTCTCTGCTGAGCCGGGTCCGGCTGAGCCTTGGGCTCTGCAGCTGCAGTTTCAGGTTGCAATCCCCGCAGGACCCCGAGGCGCTGCATCCTGCGCCGCCGCCCTCTCCTCTCCCCGCCCCGCCCCGCCCCGCCCGGGCCGCACGCTAGAGGCCGCTCCAGACTCGCAGCGCGCACCTCGCCGCCGAGCCGGGTTGGGCTGCACCGGAGGCGGCGGCGCTCGCAGCTGGGCCGGGACTTCCTTCCTCCCGCAGGACAACAAACCCCCGCCGCGGCGCGGAGCTCCCGGCACCCGGCCGGGCGGGAGGCGCGGCGATGGGCTCCGTGCTGAGCAGCGACGGCGGCAAGTCCGTGCCCGCCTCGGCCGCCCCGCGGGCCCTGGAGCGCAGGCGGGACCCCGAGCTGCCCGTCACGTCCTTCGACTGCTCCGTGTGCCTCGAGGTGCTGCACCAGCCCGTGCGGACCCGCTGCGGCCACGTGTAAGCCCGGGGGGCCCGGCGGGCGCGCCCACCCCTGCGGCGGGCGAGGCCGGGGGAGCCGAGGGCTTGGGGAGGGGGCAGGGGGAGTAACTTGGATCCGTCGGGTGCGGGCCACGGGAAAAAATTCCGGATCGGAAGGTGACACAGGATTTCAGGAGGAAAAAAACAGCAAAAAAAAGCGGGCCCTGCAGCTCCTAGAGCTGCTTCCTCGGGCGCACAGGTGCGGGGCCCCCGGGGTGGGATCCGGGCGTGGAACCCGCTAAGAGCCAGGTTGCCGGCTGGCTGGGGAGGGGCATCGGGCAGGAGAACCCGGGCAGGAGAAGCAGCAGCACCGGGCACCGGGCAGTGGGTTCCCGGGAGGGCACGGTTACCCGCTGCGCTCCCCGAGGCGGCGGTGCGTCCCCCAAGCCCCGGGCTGGGTTTTGTTTTCCTGGCTGTGTGCGTGCACGTGTTGCTGGCGCCGGCGGAGGCCCCACGCGTGCAGACCGCGACCTGTGCAGATTGTCCCGCCACCCCCAGTCCCGCCTCGCTCCCCTCGACTGACACACATCCTCCACGGTTCCCGTGAAACTGGAAGGTCCCCCCAGGGACTTCCTGGAGTCGTCCAAGTTTAACCGCCCGCGGGGTGGGGTCTGGGCTGGATGTTGGCACCCGGAGGCTGACTACCTGCCTGAAAAGCGGGTAAAAATAACCCAGAAGTCACGTGCTCCAGAATGCAAACTCGCTGCTGGCACACAGCCCTGGTAGTTTCTCAGAAGAGTCGAAAAACAAAGTCTCTCTATAAAATCGGCACGTTCTTAAGATGTGCTTGAGTAACTGGTAGCCGGAGTCGCAGCTGTGAATGTGTTTGTTTGCTTAGAAGCTCGCTCGCGTGGGTGCGTGGGTGCGCGATGACTGCGTGTGCCAGTGGGGATGGCTGGAGCCAGGGGAACCCTCGGGCCGCCCACCAATTGTAATTGATGTAGCTCCAGGGCAGTAGCCCAGCGGCTAGTAAGCGCTTTTGGCTTACCCGTTTAAAAAAGAAAAAAGTACCATATTCTAAAGCAGCGGTTCTCAACCTGTGGGTCGCGACCCCTTTGGGGGTCGAACGACCCTTTCACAGGGGTCGCCTAAGACCTTCGGAAAACATATATAATTACACATTGTTTTCGTGATTCATCACTATGCTTTCATTATGTTCAATTTGTAACAATGAAAATACATCCTGCATATCAGATATTTACATGATGATTCATAACAGTAGCAACATTACAGTGATGAAGTAGCAACGAAAATAATTTTATGGTTGGGGGTCACCACAACATGAGGAACTGTATTAAAGGGTCGCGGCATTAGGAAGGTTGAGAACCACCTCTAGAATCTAAAGGTAAGCGCGCAAAATCCTTTCCAAAGAACCTAGGTGTTCCTGACACCTGGAGCCTAGTCCCCGGAAGTGGTTCTCACCACTGCAGAAGCCCGGCAGCCAGCCACCGGGAGGAAAAGCTTTAGCCCACAGAGGTGAAATGAGGGGTGTCCGGGGCGTTTCTCTGTGGCTGTATCCAGGGCCTGTGGTTTCAGTTTGTACTTGACACTCAAGGCTAATTTACCCTCTGTCTGACCCCGGATGTTGTTGCCCAGCTGTCCAGGTGTAGCTCATTGGCTTACGATCCCCCAGGCCAAACGGGGAAACCCAGACGATGCCGTGTACCAGGGTGACGTGCGTTTGTTTGTTCAGGCCGGTAACCGCCTCGTTTAAATTTAGCTTTAAAACTCGACTGTTGGCCACAGGCGCACAGTGGTTATTAGTCTTGAAGATTTCTGTGGCAGCTTTGCTGTTGGATCCTGGAGATGGTTGTCTGCTTGGAGACCGCCTCCCCTGGTTTAGATTTGAATGCTGTGACTTAGGGTGTGCAGTGCGTTTGCTTTTGCTCAGGGTAATACACATTTGCAAAATGTTGAGGCTTGTTTCAACTTTTTCTTTGTTGGAGTGAATAGGAAACCAGCAACTGGAAAAACAGTCATGAAATATACCAGGGGTTGGACCAATGGCCTTTCCTCACTTGACTGTTCTTTGTTTGGACAGATCTATGCCCATTGTTCTGGCTATGGGCAGAATTTCCATATTACTCCTTCTGGCAAATGGACTTGGGCCCCTTCCGCTTTATAAATGTTAATGAGAGTCCCTTCTGCCCTGAGATGGCAAGTGCTGTAAACACCGTTTATCCTTCCTAAATCAATTACTCTGTTCCATTGAACTTAAACTGGAAAATGAAGAAATGCATACGAGACCTCTGTATCATCCCCTCTTAAAGCTAACTTCCAAACTTGTTGAACTAGGTCATTTATGTTCATTTAAACTAGTAAACCTATTTCAAGCCAAGCAAGTACAATGATGGCAACAATACCTTATAGCACTTTGTAAATCGTATTGTGATACCGTAGAAACAGTGGGTGATGACCAACACATTGCTTAATCTCTTTGAATCTGTCTCACTTGTAAAACATGGTGAGTCATTGAATTTTATGAGTATTTAACATGTAAAAGGAGCTCATAATAAAGGCTCAAAACAGTTTGTATTACCTTCAAAATCATTCCACTAAGCAAAAACCCTTACAGGGGTATTATTTCTTATCTCTATACCTCTTTTGGAAAAAAACTAAAGGGCCACAAAAGGTGGAGTTTAAGAAGTTCCATTTTAAAGTTTTATCACTTTAAAATGACTTTATTTACATCACTCTTATCAGTTGTAAAAATACACTGGTAAAGGAGGCTTCTTTATCTTTGTCTTATCTTCTGTTATCACCTGAACTGGGGAGAGGGTGGGCTGGGTAGGTAACCTGTTCAAATGAAACTTAAAGGGAATCTGATTTACACTTAAAAGAAATACCCAGAAATATTCAAAGACATTCGTTGTCCAATTGGATAAGGTAGACACCTGGGGAGAAAGAAGTGCAAGGCAACTAACTCCCAAACAGGTGACAGATCCAGGGGGCAGAGTGCAGCTCAGGAGGGAGTTAATGAACTCTGACTGGGCCGGTTGAAAGTGCCCCAGAGAGATATCCGAGGGGGAAACACTCCAGAGGCCCTGGGAGAGTGGGTTTGGAGAAAGAGATCAGAACTGGAGCAGTTGGAGAATTATCTTGAAAAGGGTCTGAGAACGGACCTAATGTAACCAGACAATCAATGGGTCCGTGCTACCTGTCACGAGCCAATTAAGCAGAGACAGGGTTGAATCACATATGAGCATTTATTCCAGTACTGCCGGCAGCATGGGAGAGCAGCAGGTCATCCACAGACATCTGCTCTGCAGCCCCCCATAAGCCATCTGCTTATATAGGGTAGGACAGAGATTACATGGGGAAGTAGGGATCCCAGGCATGAGGAGGTAGGCAATGTGGGCTGTGGTGGGACTTCATTGTTTGGGAAACAAGGTTGTTAATCTTTCCATGATAATAGGCAGTTCTTGAGTGAGAATGGACCACATGCCAAGATTGACTCCCAGATCCCAGGGATGTACAACTCCCTAACCAGCCAGGTTAGAATGTTCTTTCCTTTCCTTTCCTTCTTTCTATTGATTTCAGAGAGGAAGGGAGAGATACAGACATCAATGATAAGAGAGAACCACTGATTGCTTGCCTCCTGCACGCCCCCTACTGGGGAATCGTGCCCGAAACCCTGGCCCTTGGTGGGAATCGAACCTGAGACCCTTCGGTTCACAGGCCGATGCTCCCATTGAGCCAGAATGTCTTTACTTTAACCAGCACAAGGCAATCAGGGTTAACAGCATGATTAGTATTTCCCATAACCATAGCTAGTCCCCAATATTCTATTTTTGCCCCTACCACTACCAGAGCTAAGTATTTACTGAAGGATACTGTAAGGTACAGAGAGCCATATCTCCATCGATCCGTTTGCATTAAATTGCTCTATGTCACAGAACGTATCTATTTATTTAATAATGAAACAATTGAGGACAATTCTGAAGAGCTCTCAGGTAATGGATTAAAACGTTCCGTTTGTGGACAAGTATAAGCAATAGGAGGTATACTCCAAATTAGCAATCCTCCGAGCCTAAGAGTCAACTGATGAGTTTTAAATGACCCAGAAATGTACATCAGTGCTTTCATTCACAGATGCCGGTAGTTGAATTGAGGTAGTGGGAGTTTGTGGGCGTTCCCCTGCGATTGCAAATTATCATTGACCTAATATTTGACCTGTTATTTGACTTGAGATGAAACTTTGCAGTGTAGGTATGAAGCATCCAGTCTCCTGATGCTAAAAACAGATGTATGTAGGATGCCTCCTTCTCCCCAAAGTACTTGGGTAAGTGTCACTTAAAATGGGCTGAATGGAATCTTCTGTACCATCAAGGTTCAAAAACTCTCTGATTGGACTGCTTATCTTCCTTTTGTTAAGAGTTTTGGAACCTTGATGGTATAGAAGACTCCATTCCTTTAATAAAGGGATGCTGATTTCCATGTTGCTATTCCTTTAAGGTTTGGCTCTTAGTAGGTGTTGGATATTAGCGAATTAATGAGTGACTCTTTGACAAAATGCAGTTTGGAGACTTCGGTGAACACCCCTCAAGTGGGGACAACCACTGCATAGTGCCAGCCGGCTGATGATGATAAGCGGTTTGAGCAGCAGATATGAGTCCCATGAGTTTTCGAACTCCGTTCCTTTTATAGGCTTATTGCTCTGTGCCTGCATTACTGAGAATTTCGGGAAGATGTAATTAAGCCGGCCTGAAATTTGCCTCTTCTGGTGGTTGGACTGCTGTGTGTTTACTTAGCAACATTGGTTTTACAGGCAAATTAAATATTAGTGACCTATTAAATTACGTATCCTCTAACAAACAGAACCTAAATACGGTAGCAGATTGAGTTTTATGTCCAGATTCTCGTTAGAGCCTTGGTCCTTGGTCCAGCAGCATTGCAGTACCTCGGGCCTCGCCTCAGAGCTAATGAATCGGAGTCTGCATTTTAACAAAATGCTCCGGCGATTTTATACTTTGAAGTTTGAGGAGCACAGCCTTAAATAACCACTTCTAATTGACAGTAAGATTCAGTAAGTTGAGGACAGGGTTTGAGGGGTCTAGAGAGGCGTTAACCTTGAAGATGTCAGGTCAAAGGAAATAAAATGTGTCTTAGGCGTTAAATTTAAAATCAACCCATAATGGAGTGTAGAGGTATGCACAGTCACTTTTTGGGTGATTCCCAGGATGGACTTTGAGTATAATCTAACTTCGCACACAGCATCGAAGGAAACCCTGAGGAGCGGGCAGTGCGTGGTTGGAGGGCCTGTGCTCCAAGAATAATGTCATTGGCGAAGAAGGAGCCGTATGTGTATGGGTGTGTCTTTATTGTCCTATATTGGGATATTTTAGGCCCATACTCTTATCATCACTTTACATTTTGCTTGTCTGACCCAGGCCCCACGGAATCCCTAATGCATCTTTTTCCTCTTTAAATCTATACTTAGGGTTCTTTTACCTCTTAAGATTGGGTGCATAATTTTACCCAATGGCCTCAGCAACTCTTTCCCTTTTCCCCTCCAATCCTTTGCTGAGTTCTTTGCCAATCACTTAATTCAGGAAAACAGAAAGGGTTAATGAGATAACCAACAGGAGTGGGGTAATTCAGTTCCCAGCTGGTTTCAGATTCTCCCAGTCATTATCTAGTTCCTAATTGATTTCTTCAAGGAGCAATACATTCAGCAGGGGTGAGCTGCAAGTGGTACAAATGGTTGTGGAGGGTGAGTACTCCACAGGAGGGGGCACCAGCCCATATGGCCATTTGGGAATTGAGTTCAGGGTTGCAGGAGGTTGAGGGTGGAAGTCATTTGCATGTGAAGCCAGAAATTTAGGTTTATGTGTGAAATCTGAGTTTGAAGCAACTCATTCAGAATTTTTGAAAACATTGAACTGGTCTGAAAAACCTGCGATTGGATGGAATGAGACTTGACTTGGGGTGGTGAATGCATAATACAATATGTAGATGAGATATTATAGAATTGTACACCCGAGCCCCGGGTGGGTAGCTCAGTTGGTTAGAGCATGGTCCCAATGCGCCAAGGTTGCAAGTTTGATCCCCAGTCAGGGCACATACAAGAATCAACCAGCCCTGGCTGGTTTGGCTAGGTGGATAGAGTGTCAGCCTTCGGACTGAGGGGTCCCAGGTTCGATTCCAGTTAGGGGCACATGCCCGGGTTGTGAGCCCAATCCCCAATGTGGGCCCGATCCCCAGTGGGGTGTGTGGGAGGCAGCCGATCAATGATTCTCTCTCATCATTGATGTTTCTGTCTCTCTCTCTCCCTTTCCTTCCTCTCTGAAATCAATAAAAAATATATTTTGGAAAAAAAAAGTCAACCAATGAATGCATAAATAAGTGGAACAACAAAGAGATCTCTCTCTCTCAAATCAATAAGTAAAATGTTTTAAAAATAATTATACGTCTGAAATCTATATAGTTTTATTAACCAACGCCACCCTAATAAATTCAATAAATAAAAGATACAAATTAAAAAAAACACACACATGCAATTGACTTCCACCCTCAGCTTCTATCGTTGGCCTACGTCTGCCTCATTCTCATCGTATCTTTTATAATTTGTCATTCTGAGCCACTTTATGGCGTGGGGTGGGGCAAACAGGGATCCCTTCTCTCCTTAGGTTTGTGTCTCTTTCTGTCCCTTTCGTTCTTCCAGAAGGACACAAGACTCCTATTTACTGTTTGTTTGTTTGTTTGTTTGTTTATTTATTTATTTTTAAAAGGTATTTTATTGATTTTTTTACAGAGAGGAAGGAAGCGGGATAGAGAGTTAGAAACATCGATGAGAGAGAAACATCGATCATCTGCCTCCTGCACACTCCCTACTGGGGATGTGCCTGCAACCAAGGTACATGCCCTTGACCGGAATCGAACCTGGAACCCTTCAGTCTGCAGGCTGACTGAGCCAAACCGGTTAGGGCCTATTTACTGTTTAATTTATTTTTTAAATGTATTTTTATTGATTTCTACAGAGAGGAAGGGAGAGGGATAGAGAGTTAGAAACATCGATGAGAGAGAAGCATCGATCAGCTACGACCCCTAATGGGGATCAAGCCCACAACCTAAGTACATGCCCCTTGGCCGGAATTGAACCTGAGACCCTTCAGTCGGCAGGCTGACGCTCTATCTACCGAGCCAAACCGGTTAGAGTGAGATTCCTATGTATTAATGGGAACATTGGGCCCTGCTCAGAAAATTCTTTTTTGGGCATTTCCTCATAACTGATTTAGTTACTTCAATTTATTGAATAGGTACTGTGTGTCTGGAGCTGTGTAGGAGGGAGGCCTACAAGATTCTGAATGGGTCTGTGCTGTATATATTTCTGTGATCTTCTCCATGCAGTGTTGTCTGGGAATATTTTTGTTTTGTTGTATTGTTTTCTAGCTTTATGGAAGTGATACAGTACAATTCACACAAAGTGTATAAGTTGAGCCCTGCAGGTGTGCTCAGTGGTTGAGCGTTGACCTATGAACCAGGAGGTCAAGGTTCAATTCCTGGTCAGGGCATAGGCCCAGGTTGCTGGCTTGATCCCCAGTGTGGGGCGTGTAGGAGGCAACCAAACCATGATTCTTTCATCATTGATGTTTCTGTCTTTCTCTTCCTCTCCCTTCCTGTCGAAGTCAATAAAACAAATATATATATTTTTTAAAAGTGTATTGGTTGATGAATTTTGGTAACTGTATGTTTTTATTGATTTGAGAAAGAGAGAAACATTGATGTGAGAGAGATACATACCTGCTAGGTATGTCCTCTAACTAGGAAACGAACCTGTGACCTTCAGGCACACAGGACGATGCTCCAACCAACCGACTCACAACATCCAGGCAAAAATATATTTTTAAAGATGTTTTTCTCTTCAAATCACATTCTAGAATGTACCCTCTGGTTTATATACAGTATATCCGTGATATCACTTTGCTGCTTTTCTCACTGGGAGGAATGAAAAGGCAACTTTGAGCCTCCCTGGAACCTGTGAGAGGAGAAAAGCATGACCGTCCTCTGGCTGTGACCTCAGCAAGCTGTCACCCCCTCTGAACCTCAGTCCGCCCTCCGTCTAGGAGAGAGCAGAGCCCTCGTTAGGATCGCCGTGAGGATGAAAGGAGGGAACATGTCTCAGTGCCCACCACAGGGCTTGGCACCAATGCTAGTCTCCTGCCTGTGTTGGCATAAAACTCCTAAGTTGTGAGAAAAGGAGGAAGGCTTTTGGTTGACAAAAAAAACCAAGTGTTATCTGCTTGTTCCTAAATTCTATCATAATAATAAAAGGCCAAGAGGTGTCACGACCAAATGACTGGTCACCATGAGGTGCATGGAGCACCTCTTGGGCCCTCCCCCATGGCCCACAGGCTCCGATCACAGCAAGGCTGGCGGCTGGTGGGTGGGCAGGGCAGCGGGCAGGTGGGCGCAGTGAGGCAGGTGTGAATGCAAGCGCATAAGGTGCCACTACAGTGCAGTTCCCACAGGTGAGCCCGCAGTGGCGGCTTCGTCACACCCTTCAGGGAAAGTGATGTGTCCTTGGCGTGTTTCGGGCAGGTTCTGCCGCTCCTGTATTGCCACCAGTCTGAAGAGCAGCAAGTGGACCTGCCCTTACTGCCGGGCGTACCTTCCTTCCGAAGGAGTCCCAGCCACGGATGTGACCAGGAGGATGAAATCAGAGTTCCAGAACTGCGCGGAGTGCGGCACCCTGGTGAGTGGCCCTGTGCTCACCGGCTTGCAGGGCTGAGAAAAGTGGTACACGGCTCCTCGGTTCCCCTGTGCCCTTTGACCTCCCCCTACCCCGGCTTCCTAAAGTTGATTGTCTCAGCCTTTCTCCAGTTTCATAGGTGTGAGCGGCAAGAAAATAGTCACCGGATGCCTACCATCGCCTCGTTTTCCACACAAACGCTTTCATTGGCTGCCTCCATCTCTTCTCTTCCCATGGCTCCCGTGCCCCCCTGGGGTGTGGCCTCCATTCCTGCTCCTCTATTGCAGGCACCAACGAGAGCTTCGTTAGCAAATCCAGTGGCACACTTGCACCCACGCCCTTGACTTGGCAGTGTTTCTCTCTCTCCACCACTTCCTCCTGTTGCAATTTTCATCCTTGATCCTAGGCGAGCATGGTTAGATCACGTGAGGGCTTGGGGCCATGCCAACACAGATGCAATAGTGACGCATAGAAGAAGGGTAAGCCTTTGATCGGGGTGACACGTGGGGATATTACTCCAGCGTGTGCGTGGACGATGGCTTGCAGGGGGCAGAGGCAGGACTGGGGAAGCCGATTTGGTGGCTGTCAGTAGGGGTCAGGTAAGGAAGCTGGGTTGGGGAGATAGTGTTAGGTATGAGATAAGACGTTTTTTCAAGGTGTATTTAGGAGGGAGAAGCAAAGGAAATTGGTGGTTGACTGCATGTGGGGGTGAGGGAGCGCGAAGTGTCAGAGTGCCTGCAAGGTTTCTGCGATGAGTAGCGAAGGTGTTAAAGTGGGGATCAGGTTTGGAGCAGAATCCACGGAGTTGAATTTGTGTTAAAATTTGAACTAAGTAGGAGATACTTGGCTATACCAGTCTAAAGATCAAAAGAGAGATTATGTACTGAAGGTCTAAATTCCTTTAGAGAATCTTTCTTGATTGTTAACCTAAATTATAGCCTGTTATACTTTCTCTTAGCACTCTGTGTCCCCTTTATAACAATTTTCACCACTTACTATTATGCTTTTATGATTTTTTAATTGAATATTAGTTATTCCCACCAGATTTAAGTTCCAAGAAGGTAAGGACTGTGTCTGTTTTATTGGCAGCTGTGTACCCAGCACTTTGAAAAGTGGCTGGCACATATAGTAAGTGCTTAATGCAGTTTTGTTTTTAGTAAATACTGGTATTTATGTAAGACTCAGTAATCTCTTCATGGCTGCCTGGCTACAGAATACATGCATGGTCTTTGAGGTCAAACATCCTAGCATCAAACACTAATTCTCTCACTTACTCTTTGTGATTTGGGACAAGTTATTAATCTGAGTTTTTGTTTATCTCTGGAAAATAAGGAAAAAGGTAATGTTTGTGTCACAGGATGGTTTTAAAGGTAAATGAGAAAACACATGGTTTCAAACATGAGAAATACTCAAAATCAATCATAATAGACTGGTGCTTATTTTTACTTGGACATTTTTTTCATCGTATAAAATGTAACACGTCCCAAGTCAAACTCAGGGTATTATTTCATCATCCTGTTCTTTATCCCACCTTTGGTGTCCGTCAGAAACAAGAACATTCAATTATTTTGAGTGGAAATTCCCTTTCTTTTTTACCACCACCACCCCCCCCCCCCCCCCCCCCCGCCGCCCATTTCTGCATTTTGCATTTTCTCTTGGGGTATGTCTTGTATCCATCTCTTCTGTTTTCTGTTACTCGTCCTGCCAGGAATGCTGCCATTCCTTTGATAGCCATCTTAGATGCTACTTACGCTAAAGAATCCAGGCCAGAGCTCCACCCCATGACGCCTAGCTTTCGTATGCCAGTGCCCGTATCAGCTTCCTTCCTACTTTTCTACATACATATCTTTCTCCCCCTTCCATTAGATTAGAAGCAGCTTTACAGCAAGCACAGTGGTTTATTTATTTTTTAAATATGTTTTTATTGATTTCAGAGAGGAAGGGAGAGGGAGAGAGATAGAAACATCAATGATGAGAGAGAATCACTGACCGGCTGCCTCCTGTATACTGGGGATCGAGCCCACAACCTGGGCATGTGCCCTGACTGGGAATCGAATTGTGACCCCCCTGGTTCATAGGTTGATGCTCAACCACTGAGCCACGCTGGCCAGGCCAACCACAGTGGTTTATGTGTCCTCTGTCATCTCTTACATTGTCTTACATACTTTTGTCTCTAGAGTGGCCACTGTGTGAACTTATCAGTTCGTTTGTCAGTGTATATGGTCCCCAGATTGCTAATTTCTGTGAAGAGCCCTTCGCTTTGTTGATGAAGGAACACAAAGAGGAAGAAGGAAAGCTTTAACACGGGTAGGGAAGAGATGAGGGAGCACTGGTGGGCAAAGTTGGGTGTTCAAGACTGCGTAACAGTCTGTGTCCAGGCGGCTACCTACATCAGTCCCGGTTTTTACATCTTTTACTTAGATATTTGTAAGGCGAGGACTTGCTTTTATTTTTGGTCTTTTGTGAAGCAGTTATAACAGTTTCAAGTTTGAGGTTTCGCTTCGGTCGCGTGGTCAGCGTGAAGCAGGGTGGGTCGGCCACCTTACCACAGCTGTGAGCGCTCCCTTCGGCACAGATCCTACCAGTTCCTGCCGAAGCACTGAGTACAACATGTGTTAGTTAGCCACAGATGCCTCATGGTCAGGGCTCTGAATGTATATCTGCAGGAACAAGGGCTCTTTCTTCGGCCTTGATAAAAATGGACGGCAAGAGCTGCCTTTCATGTGTGCTCTTAATGGGGCCATTAAGTGTGCTGTGTATTGTGAATTCATGTCATACTGCTAGATACATGCGAAAACCAGGGTATTTATAGTTTTTCCCGAGGCACAGGGTTTCTTTTTACTTATTATGGATATTCCTAAAATCCATCCATTTATTATGCTTTTCTGTCTTTTTTTTTTTTTTTTTTTACTTTTCCCCCTTTCTCCCTCTTCCTCTCTTTTCCCTCTCCCCTTTTTCTTTCCCACTCGCCTCTTTCCATCACCAATTTAGGTAATGGCATTCCCAAAAAGTAAATTTCAGTTCATCTACGTCTTTCCACTTAAAAAATAAATGCTTTCTAGAAGAACCAAATTCAGTAACTCAACATTTGGGTCTTCAAAGTGTTAGAGAAATTGAAAAGTAGTGCTGTTCTGGATACTGCCCTAGCTTTGTTGTACTGTGTTCATGAATGCATCCTTTTAAAGTCGGCTGCCCCCACTCTGACCTTATTTGAAATAATGAAAGTGGCAATAAAGCCGGGTCACACAGGCTTCTCTGAGCTCCCTTTCAGCAGTGAGTTTATTTTGAATTTGCTTTTGTGTAGGTTTGCCTCAGCGAGATGAGGGCACACATAAGAACCTGTCAGAAGTACATAGATAAATATGGACCACTACAAGAACTCGGGGAGACAGCAGCAAGGTTTGTTTCCACAGAGCATAGTTTAGTGCTAACTTCGATATGTCTGTAAAGAACTTAATACTGGAACTAATGCAAAGTAATATTGAATGTAAATTGTCATTGAAAAAAAAATTTTAATGTTATGTTACAGAAAAGGGGAAAAAAAAGAATTTAACGGGAAATTTAAAATTTTATTGTGAAAACATGCATGTAGTTATGGGCAGGCTCTTAACCATAATACCTGTTATTGGCTCTTAACCATAATACCATTTGTTTTGTGTTTGTTTTTTAATATATTTTTATTGATTTCTGAGAGGAAGGGAGAGGGGGAGAGAGAGAGAAACATCAGTGATGAGAGAGAATCACTGATCGGCTGCCTCCTGCACGCCCCACTGGGCGATCGAGCCTGAAACCCAGGCATGTGCCCTGACCGGGAATCGAACCGTGACCTCCTTGTTCATAGGTTGACGCTCAACCACTGAGCCTTGCTGGCCGGGCGGTAACCAGTTGTTGATAGCAATAACCATGGACTTTGCATGGAGGGAGCCTGCCGAGCACTGGAGAGACGAGGGAAACGTCCTCGGACGGGTTTATATTAAGGGAGCCCCACAAACAGTGCAGAGCTGCTCATTTCTGCTAGGCCCTGCGTTCTGACTGATAAGAGCCCTGAAGCAGATCGTGACTAAGAGGTGATTCATCTTAAAAAAAAAAAGAAGAGGTTATTCATCTTTACTTTTCCGCCACCACTGCCCAGTTCCCAGCTCCCTCCCTCTCATTTTGCCGGTTTCTCCTTAGAAAGTAGGAAGTCACATCATACATGTCCATATATATTCTAACAAGGAGGTCCAGGCCTCCGCAGGCGTCTGTATTCTATACCTTTGGGGGCTGGAAGATGGATGGGGGTTGCTAGTAGGTTTAATGGAAGATATTGAGCTCCTTTTTTATTTTTTCTTTAAAAAAAGAAAAGAAATCTGGGTCATTATTGTCCGGATAGCCAGAATAATTACAAAGTTTGGAGTCTCTCTCTCTCTCCCCTAACAAAATAAAGAAATGGTGGCTTTGAAATCATTAGATGTGCTTATAAACTCAGTTCCCCAATAATGGGATTCAGTAGGGGTGTGATTTCTCTCTCCTGAAGGAAAATGTTAGTTCTGCTTATTTTAAGAAAACACACTCAAAATGTAGCTTATACTTTTTAACCTGGAAGTCTAAATGATCACGCCATTCCTTTTGTTTTACTACTAGACACTGCTGTGCAAACATACTTGTTTTATAGGATTTGTTTTATACCATGACTGTACAAATTTTAAATTTATAAGCAGAGTCCAGATTCTGTTAGATTGACCACAAGGGCCAATAGGAAGGAAGGATAGCAACTGGTTTGAGAAAGTATGTGTGTATTTGATTGCAAGGTTGATAGGCTTTATAAAAAAATTAAAATATCAAAAGCTAATTTAAAGCTGAATTTCTTCTGCTAGTTAGAATTAAATAGTAAAGAATTAAAATAACAGAAAATGGAAAAAAAGAGAAAATAACAGAAAACGAGAAGGGTTGGTGATTAATCACTCTTACAGGATAGATTAATATTTGCATTTAAGATAGAAGTCGTTGTTTTATCGAAGAACTTACTCCGTGATTCAAATTTTTAAATTTCTTACGCAGGCAGCTTGTCTAGAATACAAGTCTTAGAAAGTAGGAAGTTATATCTATCATGGAAAGTGAGCAAAAAATGCCAAGTTTCCATATTGTCCCTAAGAATTTAAGGCAGCACTGGCCAATAGAAATAGAAGGCAGAGCACATAATGTAATTTAAACTTTTCTAGTAGCAAGGAAAATCAATTTTTGATATATTTTACTTAACCCAAATATAGCCAAACTATTATTTCAACATGTAATCAATATAAAAGTTATTGAGATATTTTACATTCTTTTTAGAGTAAGCCTTTGAAATTCAGTGTGTGTTTTATACTTCGGCATATCTCATTTGGACTAGCAATATTTTAAGTGCCCAACAGACACATATGGCCAATGGCTACTGTATTGGGCAGCAAGATATAGGAACAAATACCCCCAAGTGTAAGGGCTTAACAGGGTAGTTGAAGGTCATTTTTCATTCTTCATTCGATACTAATTATGTGAGTTGACACTTGTAGTTACACAGGGAGGGGAAAATAGGTTTACAGTTGTGAGTATGCAAAACACAGAGTTTATTTTTGTATTATTACTTATTAACTATTGTATTATTTTCCATACGAACAACTGTAAACCTACTTTCGCCCCACTCTCTCTCTCTATATATATGCTAGAAGAGTTGGAGGACAAATAACACCCAAATCAAGATTAGGAAAAGGAGGATGGAAAAGTGACAAAGTAACGCAGGGACAGGCGGGTGGACTCAGTGCTCAGTTCCTCAGTGAATGGGGCTTCAGGTGGACTGTAGCTGTTTCTCTCCCCTATCCCCAGAAGGTCATGCATTTACATCCCTGAGGAGAAAGACTTTAGGCACCAAGACCATGATTAGGATTGGAAAAAATTATACTGATTCAGAAAGAATGAGGACTGGAAACTGGATCTATTTTTTACTTCTGTAGTTAAGTGACTACTCTCATTGCCAATAATTTTAGTGATATTCATATTCTATGCAATTTCCAGGTGTGTGTGTCCATTTTGTCAGAAGGAACTGGATGAAGACAGCTTACTGGATCATTGTATTAATCATCACAGATCAGAAAGGAGTCCGGTGGTAAGGATTTTTGTCACTATACATTTTTGCAATGTCTAAATTCAATATATATTAGAAAATTTATTTGATAGGCTTCTGTTTACAGATATTTTATATAGGATAATTTGTCAAGGTGATGGTAATTCTGTGACATTAACAAAATGTGAAAGTGTTGAATTGAAACTGATAAGAATTACTAATGTGCATTCAATCATTCATTTATGAAATTAAACATTATCTCTTACAGATAATCCTGGGCATAATCAACTAAGAATATCCAAAATGCACAATTAAGAACTAACTTTAGTATAATAAACATGGTCACATCCTAGGTTAAAAACATTTTTAAATAATGCAAATAGAGTTTTGAAAATACACTAGAAATGAAAAGTAGAAAAGTATTTTATAAAAGGCTAATATGCAAAGTGTCCCCTTGGGTGTTCAACCGTGAGACTGGGAGTTCAATTGCTCACTATGATATGCGCTGACCACCAGAGGGTGGCACAGAACAAAGGAAGGCCCTGGTCGGCAGCCGGAAGGCCCTGATTGGCCCTGATTGCTGTCCAGGCCTAAGTACCCTCCCCTGCATGAATTTCATGCACCAGGCCTCTAGTATAAAATAAAAACAAAAAAAGAAAAGCATGAAGTCATTCATCTTTAATTAATCAGTCTGTTACTTTATTTCATATATATCCACATGCTTGTGCATTAAATACACATATTGCTCATCATTTCCTAGATTCATAGTGAGTGCTGCCTTTTTTTCTTTTCAACCTGGCATTTCAGTTCTACTTTGTGGTGTGGCTTTTTTTTTTTTTTTTTTTTTTTTTTTAATATATTTTATTGATTTTTTACAGAGAGGAAGGGAGAGGGATAGAGAATTAGACACATCGATGAGAGAGAAACATTGATCAGCTGCCTCCTGCACACCCCCTACTAAACCAAGGTACATGCCCTTGACCGGAATCGAACCTGGGACCTTTCAGTCTGCAGGCCGACGCTCTATCCACTGAGCCAAACCGGTTAGGGCTGTGGTGTGGCTTTTGTAATTTTTATTGCTGTATAGTAGTGAGGTAGGCTTTTTGTTTTGTTTTGTTTTGTTTTTACCAAGTTAACTCTAACACTCACCACATGACCACCAAATTTTTGGAAATTTATCCTAGAGAAATAAAAACATCTATGCAGCTATCTGTACACAGATGTTCATTACAATTTTATTTGTAACAGCCCCAAACTGGAAACAACAAATGCCCTTCAGGAAGTGAATGGTTAAACTGTGGTACATCCATATCGCGGTCTACTTACCACTAGCAATAACAAGGAAGGAACTGTGGATGCAAGCAACAGCTTGGATGAGTCTCAAGGCCATTCTGCTCCATGTAAAGAGCCAATCTCATAAGATTAAGTGCAGTATAATTGGATTTATTTAACATTCTCAAAATGATGACATTGTAGAGGGGGGACAGACTGGTGGACACCAGGGTAGGGAGAGAAGGAAATAGAGGGGTAGCACTAGGAAGTTCCTTTGCAGTGACAGGACACTTCTGTATTTGATTTTGTTGATGGACATATGAATCTATATGCGTGATAACATTTCATAGAACTACACACACACACACACACACACACACACACACACACACACAACTGAATTCATGCAAAAACTGGTGAAACCTAAGGCAGATCTGTAGTCTAGTTAATTGCTAACTTCCTGATTTTGATAATGTGCTATAGTTATGTAAGATAATTACCATTTGGGAAAACTGGGTGATGGGAAATGGGACCTTTCTGAATTATTTTTGCAATTTCTTGTGAGTTTATAGATATTTCAAAATCAAAGTTTTTTTTGAAGAGCTATTCATAGTTATTAAATTAGGAAATACATGTAAATACTAATTACTGATGCTGGTGTGTTATAATCTTTATTGCTGGTGGTAATAAAAATACTTTAGAGCAGTAGATATTATGGACCATAAATGTTCATAACCTTTGACTATGAATCTCCATTTCTGGTCATTTATCCTAAGAATATAACCCCCCCAAAAGATAAACACTATAGATAATATCATTTGTAATAATAAAATATCTACATACAAAAAACTTATTTCAAGAGGTAGGCAACTAATTAAGTACATTACAGTGCATCTACTAACTGTACAATTGTTTAATTAATCAGTTAATAACTATGAAAATAGTAGCTATACGGTAATATGTATACAAGAGATATATACAAGAATAAATGCAATTTTATGTGTTTAATGTTATTTTAATGTTTATGAAATTTTAAAACATAAAACTGAGGTATGGCCAATAGATTTGTCGAGTTAAATTTCACTTTATTGAGTGGTTATTTATTTTTTTAATTAAAATTTATTGGGATGACATTGATTAATAAGATTATATAGGTTTCAGGTATAGATTTCTATGATACATGATCCTTATTGCATTGTGGGCCCATCACCCAAAGTCAAATCATCTTCTGTCGCCATATATTTGGCTCCCTTTACCCTTTCCTACCCCCACTTCACTCTGGTAACCAGCATACTGGTGTCTGTGTCTATGAGTTTCCATTTTATATTCCACATATGAGTGAAATCATATGGTTCTTAGCTTTTTCTGACTGCCTTATTTTGCTTAACATATTCTCAAGGTCCATCCATGTTATCACAAATGGTCGTATTCCATTTTTTCTTATGGTTGAGTAGTTGGCTATTTGATGTTTTAATTCTGACATTAGTGATTATTTTAAATTCTTTCTTGAACTCTTGGTCTTGTCTGTTTCCAGTTCTGCCCACTCTGCCGTTTAATACCCACTGAGAACCCAAGCAGCTTCAATGGCAGTTTAATAAGACATTTGCAAGTCAGTCACACTCAGCTCTATGAGGACTTCTTAGTAAGTATTTGTTTTATTTTTACATTGTCTTCATGCTGTCTGTGTTAAGCTTACTTTTTTAATCCAAGCGAATAAGGAGGAAAAAATGCATACATAACCAAAGTGTTAAGTATTAGCCTTAAGTAAGAAATCATAAAAATAGAGTGTTTTGTAAATTTGGCTAGTAATAGTAAAACAGTTATCTGCCTTACACAAAACTATTTTTTGTGTGATCCATATAATTATTCATTGTATAAGGAGCCAGATTTCACCTTCAAATTATTTTAGTTTCTACTTTACTCCCTCCCTATGTATGGTTACAGTTTTTGTGAACCTGAGAACTTATACATGATGAAATGAAATCACACCAATAACGAAATGACTCAGAGAGTTTGTTCTGCATCCAGTTGCTTTTATTTATTTTATTTTTTAAAAATAAGTTTATTGATATCAGAGAGGAAGGGAGAATGAGAGATAGAAACATCAATGATGAGAAAGAATCATTGATCAGCTGCCTCCTGCACAGCCCCCCCTGGGGATTGAGCTTGCAACCCAGGCATGTGCCCTAACTGGAATCGAACCATGACCCCCTGGTTCATAGGTCAACGCTCAACCACTGAGCCACACCAGCTGGGCCAGTTGCTTTTATAGTACATTGAATGGCTGTTCACAGATATGAAATTATCTGTGCAGTAAGGCAGATAGCCATTATTTTTAATTTAAATTTTATAAAATACAGTACTTATTGAACTTTTTTAAACATAAATTTATTATGAAAAATATTAAACATACACAAAATAGACAGAATAGTATAATGAACCTCCCATAGAACCATCACCTATGCATCAATAACTACTAACACATGGCCAGTCTCGTTATATTGACTTCTTTTAAAATGCAAGAAAAGTTAGGTATTGTATGAGTAGTCCTAATGCTTATGACTGTATTTCCCATGATCAGAAATTAGAATAACAAGCAAACAGTTAATGTAGCCTTTGTTGTGCTTTGGTCCATATGTTGTCATGGGAGGGTAATATGTTATCCTGAGTCCCTTTCAGCCTGTAAAGGGGGGGCGGTGGGGGGAATCACTCAGAACTATGTTCTGAAACATAATATATTTTTTTAATATATTTTATTGATTTTTTACAGAGAGGAAGGGAGAGGGATAGGGAGTTAGAAACATCGATGAGAGAGAAACATCCATCAGCTGCCTCCTGCACACTCCCCACTGGAGATGTGCCCGCAACCAAGGTACATGCCCTTGACTGGAATCGAACCCGGGACCCTTGAGTCCGCAGACCGACGCTCTATCCACTGAGCCAAACCGGTCAGGGCCTGAAACATAATATTTTATTGTTAACTTTCATCTAAATACAGGAATGTTAACGGCTAAATTTGAATTCGCAGATCATTTGACATTGTTTTTTATGCTATTTTAAGATAGAATTGAGTAATTGTTAAAGATTTGTTAAAAATGGTTAATTTGAAAATTCTGATCTGCTCACTGTGATTATCCAGGTTCAACACAAGGAATTTCGGTTCTGGCCTGGATTTCAGTAACAGCGCCGTCACAGCAGTGTGACCTTGGGCAGACTACTGCCCTTTGAGCCTCTGTTGATTTGCTAAGGGAAGGGAGTAAAAAGCACCTTCTCCCCAAAGAGGAGTAAGCGAGGGAACGCAGGGAAAGTACTTTGCACAGTGTGGGCAGGGACCTCAGGCAAGTTGGAGGTGGGGAGAGAATAGATGGGAATATGAGGGCCACTTGAAGGACTGCACAGGCTACACCAGAGCTTCATGGGCTCTGCTCCGCCTCCCAGATAGTGTCTCTGGTCCCCAAAGGACACAAGGCCTCACCGAGCCTGGCTCTGGTTTATGTGTTCTCATTTTTCACAGCACGTAGGGAGGGCTTCCGCTTTAGTTTAGCTCCATCAGATGTTCCAAAAGCCATCACCTGTTCTAGCTGTTCACATTCAGTCCGTTCTTCTCAAGATCTTTCAAAGTATGAATCCAGGGCTGGTCGGGAGGAAGCCACTCTGATGAGAATATTTTCCACCCACTCAAAACCATATTCTTGGATATGGAAGTGAGGCTGAAACAGTGTTTTTTGGTTTGTTTCCTCAGCTACCAAGTACTATGGGAGGCACTTCATGCATATTATCTCATTTTATTCCTTGTAACAACTATCAAGGGAGTACTCTATTATCCTCACTTAGGTATGAAATATCTGAAGCTCAGAGGTTAATACATTGCCTAAGAAACAACCAGTATTGAGTCCCAGATCTTATGTTCTTCTACTCTTTATGGCTTTCCTTTGGATTTTATTTATTTGACTTTATGGTTTTACAAGAGGCCCAGTGCATGGATTCATGCACTCATCGGGTCCCTTGGCCTGGCCTGTGCCCTCTCACAATCTGGGAACCCTCGGGGGATGTCGAAGGCTTGGTGCATGGATTCGGCCTGATCTCCGCAGGCCAGGCCAAGGGATCCCACCAGTGCATGAATCCGTGCACCGGGACTCTAGTATGCATATAAGATCTTTGGTTAATCTCTTCCCGCCCTCCCCCCTACCCCTTCCCTCTGAGATTCATCAGTCTGTTCCATGTTTCCATGCCTGTGTGTTGAGCATCTGCCCCCTGGTGGTCAGTGGGTGTCATAGCTACTGGTCAAACGGTCCAATGGTAGCTTAGGCTTTTATATATATAAATGTTTCAGAATGGACTTTTAACACAGATTTACGAGTTGTTGTTTTTTGTTTGCTTTTAGTTTTTGAAGGAAGAGAAGATGGGTTGCAAAGGACAGGGCTCTTGATAGTTTTTGTCTTGTTTACATTGAAGTTTTGAATGCCATTTTGACCACAGGAAGGCAAAGAGAAAGAGAGTTTTGCTTTCAGCAGTTTTCAGATAGATATTCAGTAGTTGTACTGAGATTGCTGAGTCCTATAGAAATGTCTTAACTTTATATGACCTGTTATGTGGAATCTAGCTCTCTGACCAGTATTTGTAGCGTTGATTATAAACTACTCATTAGATCAGATTCAAAACTTGAAATTCCAAATCAGGACTATTTTACTATGACAGTAACTGGTTATTTCGTAGGCAGTCAAATGAAATAGAAAATGCACTGGCCTCAGACAAAAGAGCTAGGTTCCCTGACGGGTTTTTTATGGAAGATTGGACAGGTCACTAAACTCAGGGCTCTCTCAGTTTGTGAAAACTGTCTCTGATTGTATGTTTCTAATTATTTTTCTTAATTGTAGGATTTCAATATAATTGAGGAAGCTCTTATCCGAAGGGTATTAGACCGGTCACTTCTGGAATATGTGAGTCACTCAAACACCACATAATGTTGTGAAAAGGAGAAGGAAGAAGACCATACAGTTGCACCATTTGTTAAGATGCTGCTTGAACAGCTGGAGGGGCATTGTCGATGTCTGATGGGCAGAAATGTACAACACAGCTCTCTTGCGTTTTAAAACTGCTTTTATCTTGATGGTTTAAATCTGTTTTACAACCCTGAGCTTTTTAGACGCTCAACAAACAAAAAGAGTCTCCATTAGCCATTAATATACTATGAAAGAGAACCTAAGGCTGGGATTGGTGGGCGAAGGATCTTTATTTGCAAACTGGATGACAGTATGTGTAACGCTACTCATTAATAAACAGCATCATGGTAGGGCAAGATAACCAATCTTTGTTCTATGTGAAAAGATGGAACGTGAAACCAATTGTGGACATGAAAGGAAATGTGAAATCTGTTTCAGTGCTCATGTTCTAATCACTAATAGAATAACATGAATAATCTTGTATGGTAGAGAAGGAAAATTTTGGAAGAAGATGAAGTCCATTTAACCAAATTGTATAACATAATGTAACAAAATTAATTTCATGTTAGGAATGTATGCCTAATTCTTTTCCTTTTTATAACTGCATACCTAAGAATTTAATATTCTATTTTTCAAATGTTTGTAGCTTATTTAGGAATATTTCTATAATGTAGGCAAGTTCTTAAGAACCGTCAGCTGCTATTTATAGTAGAGGTATTCACATCCATAATTCTTAGTGGAAAATCCAAAGGGCTTTGATGTTATTTTTATTTCCGCCGTTAGAAAAATTATAAAAAAATAATGAAAACCCAACAGAATTATAGCTCATCACATTATTATAGGAAAGCACTCTTGTCAGCCACCCTGGATGTCCTCTGCGTGTCCTGTCACAGTTCACAATGCTCGTCCCCAACCCCACAAAGTAACCATTACATTGATTTCAGTAGTAATCACTTTCTTGTTACTTCTTTAGTGTTTTATTGCCCAAGTGTGTATCTCTTAGAACACACTGTTTTTTATCTTATTCATTTAAAATTGTTATGAGATGTATTGTTTACATCCCTTTTTTACACGTTCCCCCGTTCTTTCTTTTTCTGAAAATTTACCAATTGGAGAACGTGGTCTTATGATTCACAGTTTCCCAAGTCTGTATTGTATTGATTGCAGGCTCATGGCACAATTCAGCATGTTCCTCTGCCCTCTGGACATTGACACATGGGTCCAGAGGTTTGAGCAGACTTTTGGCAAGACTGTCCGGTTCAGTCTTTTTTGTGACGTTGGCTAAACTTGACACTCGGTGCCTAGATCCAGTGATTTATTGTGGGTTGGAGAGTATTCTAATGCTGTCATTTCTTTTTTGTGTATTACTTGGAACATTTTTTGTAAAAGAGATGTTTCCCCACATCTGTGATCTGGTTAACCAGTGGTAATGTTCATGCAGGAAAAGAAAAATAACTATTTGAATTTTTCCCTTTATTTACCAATTTTCAAGGTAAACTTTTCCCTATCATCTTCTAGTGAAAACTCTTTTTAACAGCATTGTGAACTAACTTATAAATTCACACATATTGCATAGACTTCAATCCACTTTAAATATTCCCTGACTGAAGCTCAGATTGCCCTGTCTTTGGCCATTGGGTGTCTCACCATGTTGCCTCTGAATCCTTTTGACCCTACTCTCGAAATCTTTGGTGGCTTCCTTGCCGTCTCACATGACACAATATTGCAGGCCCAGCTTGTATGCTTCCTGCCCCAGACCTGAAATCGGCCATTTGCCAAGAAGCCTGGTCATTTTCAGTGAGAAATGGCATTTCCAAGCTCTCCTCGGGGCTGCTATGCTCATTGCAACTAGACTTCCCATTGTTTCTGGAAGGGAGCTAAGAAATAGCTTTGTCTTTTAAAGATAAAACTCTTCATGCGTTTATTTTTTAAAATATATATTTTTATTGATTTCAGAGAGAAGGGAGAGGGAGAGAGAGAAACATCAGTGATGAGAGAGAATGATTGATAGGCTGCCTCCTGCACACCCACACTGGGGATTGAGCCCCCAACCCGGGCCTGTGCCCTGATGGGGAATTGAACCATGACCTCCTGGTTCATAGGTGGACGCTCAGCCACTGGGCCACACTGGCCGGGCCATGAGTTTATTTTGATGCTTTCAAATCAAATGGAGTACTACAATCTAATCCTTTTTTTTCAACCATATTTCCATTTTTTCTGTACTGAGAATTCTGGTTTTCCAAGATGGGCCACAATAGAATTAGAATATCACACAGATATTCATTTCTTTTATTACCGTACACATGCAACAGTTTCAGAATAACAGTACTAATACAACTACCACCAATATTTAATGAGAACAATTAAACATTTTTTATTTGCGCTCCCTATCCTCCCCCTACTTTTTAAAGCTGTACTCTATCAACATTTTCGGAACACTTTGCTATGGTGTCACATACTGTACTCCCTTCCTCCTCCCCCAGTTAGTCTTAGTTCTTCAAGGAGCTGTGTTCAGTGCTTGCCACCAGTCCTAATTTTATAGTTTGACTGTTCTTCACATCTGACTTTTTAATGACAAATCCAAACGTTTGTTTCTTACACGTAAATGTAGTCGTCATCATGGTGTCCCAGATATCTAGGGTAAACTATCCATTCCTCTTTAAAGTCTTGCGTATGGTCCTGCCACCCACTACAAGGGAATCAGAACGACGGAAAGCCGTTGAAGTTGAGGGCTTTCCCTCCTCCTTGTAGATGTGGACTTCACAGCTGTGAGCAAGTAGCAGATGTTTCGTTTCACAACCCCTTCCTCCACTTGGGATGAGTCATCCAATAAAGCACACGAGGGAGGTAATCTCAGACTGAAAGTCTATTTTTAGTCCCTAAAAAATAATTCCTGAGCATCAGTACTGTCCAGGAAATAAATCTTTGTTCATTTAGAGCAATCCAAAAGGCATCTTTAGATCTGTAAAACTTGAAAAAATGCCAAAACGTTAAATCCCGTATTTCACATAAAGCTTTAAGTCACCCGTGGGGCTCGGTGCAGCAGTTCTGCGCCCTGCCCCTGGATGCCCCCAGGAGAAGTTTGCCGCCTCCAGGACGCATCAGGCGCTGGCCGCCTGCATGATGGTGCCTTCGGAATGGTTTTGAGTTCTAAAACGGTCAAGTGCAAATATCCATTCTTTCACGGTGCCTTTAACCTTTTATATTAAAAAAAAAAAAATCCTCTAATTCATTGTTTTAAAGAATGAAAACCAGTATTTGAAGCTGTTGACTACTAACAAGTTTCACGCTGTTCCTAGCGCCTGAGATGCCGCTTTTCCAGGGGCTTCTAAGGGAAATCTGAGTCACGTTTCTCTTCAAGGCTAAACTCTTCTAACCCTGCGAAGCCGGTGGAGCTGTTCCTTTCATGTACCTTTCCCCGGGCTTTTAACGTAGGCTGAAAGTGGGGTTCCGAGTCCGTGGCCCTATGTTAAGACCCCGGTCACAGATCCAGCTCCAGCGACGGCGCTTCACTACGTTCATGGGGTGCTCAGTCTGTCATGTGGAAGTGAGCTTACTCCAGTGACTGAACGCTGAGTGTATAATCTGTACCTTTAGGCATTGAAGTTATTTTAAAAAATCATTAAGAGATTCATTCTTTCCTTATGCAACTGCAAAAAAACAACTGTATGATCAGAATTTAAAATGTGCAGGTGTTTTTCTTTTTTTTCTTCTGTAAAAATGTATGGTGAGAAATAAAGAATGGCAGGACCATTGCTTTCAATAAAATATCTATTGTGTCTATTCTTTTTTTTCTTTAACACATATTTATTTTTATTTTTTGAATTTAAAAATCTTTTTCTCTTTTATTTATTTATATTTAAATTTCTTTATTAAGGTATTACATATGTGTCCTTATCTCCCCATGGCCCCCCCACCCTATTGTGTCTATTCTTAAATATTGATCCTGATAATTTTTTTACACAAACCGATAAACTTTTAAAATTGTCATTCAGCAGTATCTATCATGAAAACACACCTTCACGTAGGCCTCTCGGGGAACGTTTGGTAATATCTAGAGAATTATTTGTCATAACTTGGGTTTCTGGTGGCCAGGGACATAGAGGTAGAGGCCAAGGATGCTGCTCACTATTCTGCAATGCCCAGCACAGCCCCCTCACAACAAAGGATTACCAAGCCCCAAATGTCATCAGTGTCGAGGTCTAGGAACCCTGATTTAGGCCAAAGAAATGCTGGTCACCATGGAGCTACTGGTTCTGCTTCCAAGGGGCTTCACTGAAATGTAAAAGGTTAATTGTAGATGAATTCTATGTCTTAACTCTCTGCTAAATATGTACTAAGTTTTAGGTAGCCAAACCTGTCGTGTGTACCCCAGTTCAGGATATGCTCAAACATATGAGAGCTTTTTAGATTTTTTCACAAGAGGTACAGGCACATGGGTGTTATTGACGTGACCTATGATGAGTGACATCCTGCAAGGTAGAGGGAACCCAGGAGGACTTGGGAAGACTTAGCATTGTCACCTAGGCTACTTTTATGGCAGTAAATAAGACAAAATATTACAGAGGGACACCTGTATCTGAGATCCTTGAGGCTAAGAAATACTTACGTTTTTATCTTATTACTGGACAATCCTCTGGTATTTTAATCCTGCAGGATTCAGAAAGCCACACACATGGGTCTTGATTAAGGCTAATCATTGCCCCCAAAGTAGCCAGGTAAGAGGCTCAGTGAAGGTGAACCATGGGAGGAGATTGGTCAAGGTCTAGCTGTGGTTATAAACCCCCAGATCCCGGCACTCAACTTAAGGTATAGTACTGTGGGCCCTGGCTATTCTCCAGGCAGCTGCTCTCTAACCGCAGAGTTACAGGCCACTTTGATCTCATGGCATTTCTATGTCACCATGTGCTTCTCCTGGCACCCCTCATCACAACAGACTGGAAAAATGGCTGATTACACAGGTAGCACTGGCCCTATCTCCAAATACTATTGGGGATGAGGGTTTTCACATAGAACCTTTGGAGGGACACATTCAGCCCATACATGCTTCTTGGACAGAAAAATGAATGTCTGACACATGGATGGATCCGACTACTCCTGTTAGCTTCTCTGCATATTCTTTTCTCACTGGGAAGGTCTACATGGGGAGCAAATTTACTCAGCTC